AAAAAAAAAAAAAAAAAAACAGGGGAAAAAAAAAAAGAAAAAGAAAAAAGGGGGAGGTCGGAGGGGGTCACGTGGTGTCCCCGTATGCATGTTAATTCCACCCAACATTAACACAGATCAGCTGAAAACATCTCCAACTTTAGATTAAAGCTTACGCAAGCCAAAGCCAACACGGCCCATCCCAAGCGCCTTCCTGAACGAGCCGGGGAGGAGCTCCGCCAGCTCCCCCCTTCACCCCCCAGCATGGCGGGCACACTCCTCGTTAACGCAAGGGGGTAATTATTTGGAGGCATCCTATTGTGCACCTTTGGGAACAGCCCCTCCAGGGACGGAGGGCAGCATTCGGTGCAAGACACGTGCGCTTCACCATCCCTAAAGGCTTAAAATCCGTAGCAAAGCTCTGGAAATAATAACAGACTGTAGCACTTAGGGGTTTAGGGGTTGTTTTGTTGTTTTTGGGTGTTGGATTTTTTTCTTTTAGCATCTTTTCCAGCCTGCAGCCTTTCTGCCTTCATACAAAGCAAGTTCGGCTGTTCCGCTATCTATGGGGAGGTCAGAAGTACGATTTGCCTTTAAACAGCATCTTCCACCCCCCATCTCCCCGCATGTCACCCGTGCGACCCCTGTTTTGTGGGATGAGGGGATGGAGGCATGAAACGAGATGAGCCAAGGTTGGCCAGTGAGCAGGGATGGAGCTGGAAAAAGCCACCTCAGGGCTTGGCCGGGGCAGGGATGTGACCTTGGGGGGCACGGTGTGAAATGAAGAGAAATTCCCAGGAAACGTGCTCCCCTAGAGCTACGGGCAGCGGGAGGACACAGGTCCTGCATCCCTACCAGCTCTGGGGGACACCTAATGTCACGAGTAAGCTCTTGGCCCTGACTCCATCAAGTTGTCTTCCCCATGTTGTTCCCACAGACCCCGTTAGTGGTACCAGACCTCGTTAGCTGAGCATCTGCCTACATCAGTCCATCTCCGCTGGGGAGCAGATACGGACATGTTTGCTTGGGACTGCCAAACTCTTTGCCAAATATTTGCTTGAACCTGGTGCTGTTGGATATACCTTTTCCCCGTGCATGAACAACAGATTTTATGTGCAAGACCTCGTAAGGCCACGCGAAGCCTTGCTGGGCGAGTTTGAGGTGCTTTAAAATAATGACAACATGAAAAGTTTTCCTGCATTTTAATTGCTTTTTTTTTTTTTTTAAACGTGACTTCCATTTGGGGGCATTCAGATGAGATATTAAAAACCTAAGCAGGCTGGACCCTTAAGTGGCCAAAACTCTCCTAAAAAAAATGAATCAATTTAGCTGCAAGATGAAAATTTGGATAAATAATGCCAACTAGACTTCAAACGTAGATGCATCTGGCGACACATTATGTGCACCCCACCAAAGCAAGGCATGCCCAGCGCCTGGTCCACATCTGTATAAAGGCTTTGGCCAAACTGGGTTAAGCACGAGGGGTTGTACGTGGGGCCGTTTCCCAGTCTGCTGGACGGCTGCAGCCTTCCTCGCACCGAGAGCCTCACAAAGCGACCCAACGGCAGGGAGATGCTCTTTCCTCTCCCATCCCACAAACAACGTCCAGGGCATGGAGAGCCGAACATCACCCTCCATTAAGGCAGGAGGGTCCAAGCACCTGGTGACCCCCAGCTCTGGTACTAAGTGACATGGCCAAGGCTAGCCAGGAAGTTTTGTGGCAGAGCAGACATACAAATTCAGCTCCCCTGAGGTGTGGTCACCCTCCGTCCGGGCCTGTTCTCCTGTGAGGAAGAACTGGTCCATGCCAGGGCACAGCTCCTCGAGGGGCAGGAGTGCCTCGGCACCGTGCCCACCTTGGGGTGGCCTTTTTTGGCAGCTCGCCTGGAAATGGAAGCCCGAGAAGACCTCACCCACCAGCCTCCTGCCGGTTACACTTAACCATCATACTCTGAGTCCTCTAATAAGCGTCCTGGTCACACTAAGAGACAATTTCCATCTCGCCACCAAAATTCAATGTGCAACCTACTGAGGTCCTTTGCGACTCTGCTAATAAATTAATTCACAGAATTACTCCTTTGAGCCATGGCCCAGAGCCTCAGCTGGAATAAATCAGCGCTGCTGAAGGAAAGGGATAGCACAAGCACCGGAGGACATTAACAGGACGAGGTGACCTCCCTGACCAACTTCAGAGGGCTGCGGGAGAGAGCTGGAGCCAGGCCAGCCCAACCCAAAACGTGCAGGCAAACGGGAGAACTTCCCTGCCTGGCAATTCAGTAACGTGCCCACCCTGATTTCTGCATCTCCGGGAACAAATTCCACACTCAACGTTAAGTGGACGTACGGTTTTTTGGGGCTTGGATGCTCAGCACCTTCGAAACCAAATCCTTCAGCAGCCCTACCATGGTCCCACCAACCGTGGTCCCACCAACCGTGGTCCCACCAACTGCACCCGGAGCCACACTCACCCTTCCCGTGTGCCGATGCTTCAGACCAGCTGGGTGGGATGTTGCAATCAACCACATGTTTGTCTGCGAGGTGGTGAAGTAAATGAAAATCGAACCAAAGAGGCCCTTCAGGGAAGAGGAGCGGGGCTCAGCTTCCAAGTTTACCTCCAAACCCTCAGATCCTCAGCTCCATAACACAGGCTGACCCTGGCAAAAGCATCAGGCGCGGATGCTCCTCCTGCCAATTAACATCCGTCTTATTTTGAAAGAGTTTCAGCAAAATAGCTTCAGAAGATTTTTACTGTTTTAAAACTTGGGCTCACATCCAGGGAGGATTTATAAGCCACATATAACCTGCGCGAGAGTCCTGGTCCTGCTATGTATCACCAGTGCTGAAGGCAAACATCCCACCGGCACACGCCATATGCTCAAGCTCTTTACCGAGCTGGGACCTGGCTGAGCAACTCTGAATAAATCCAGCTGGAAAGCTCCGGCTTCCTACCCCAAAGAACCACCAACGAGACTTTCTATTTTTTAAATAAATGGGTGAATGGAAGGAGCACAAATTAAGTACAAACTGACACAGCAGGGCTGGACACCACATAAACACTTGCTTAACTTCCATGTCCACCATATAGTTGACCACTAGAAAAAATGAGGTTTTGGGAAACTGATTTTTTTTTTTTTTTTGCTATGTAAAAAGGTTTTTTTTGCTAGAAAAAAATATTTTTTATATAAAAGGTTGAGTGAAAATATATCAGGGGTGGGTGAAGCTATGAGTGGCATCAAAACAAGTCTTAGAGCAGGACCGCAAGGCAAAAAAAAATGCTGACAGCAAAATGTAGCACAAAGGCACATTTCCAATGCATTTTTCCAAGAGATCACGAAGGGGATAGTTGGGGAGAGAAAACTGGGAGCGAGAAAGGGAGTGGGTTACGTACCGGCGACGGTGTCCGCTGCAGCAGTGCTCTTCCCCCATCCCACAGCAGCCAGCCGAGCTGCTGCTTGCTGCCGAGGAGCAAGGAGGCAAAGCAGGCCGTTAACTGGGGCTACACACCATCCCACCACCACCTCCTCCTCCTCCTCCTCCAGGGCATCACACGTTCTCCAAACCATCAAACTTCAGCCACTGCCAAGAGGAAACAGGTGGAGAAGATGGTGGCAATATGTTCGTCTCTGGGTTTCAGGGAGAAGAGAGGGGAAGAGGATGGCTACAACAAGTACAACCAACGGTAAAGTTGGTTTTTTCTCATCAGTCAAGTCTCCCTTTGCCCTTCCTACCCAGACTACAAGCAAACAGTGCCAGGAACAGCTCACCCGCCATAGGTGGAGGTCATGGGTTTAATGTCATTGAGAGCTTTGGCACCACATGGTCAACATGAAGGCAGAGAGATGTCCAGCAGAAAAGGCAAAACTGCTTGGGAAGACACTGCTCAAGGCTCATCTCTTGTGAAACACATTTTCGTTTGAAACTGTGGGATTCAATGACTGCTCTCTCCACCCAAACAGTCCTTTGCAGCCAGTCTGCTCAGGTAGGGTCATCTCCAGGTCACGTTAAGGCCATACAAGCAAAGAAATAGAATCATTGGTCTCCTCAATTATTCCAGCCCCAACACTGAGGCTAAAACCCAGGAAAAAAGCTTTTCATGCAGCTTCGCCTTCAGTGCTGGCTGATGGCAGTGATCTGGAAGGCTTGTGCAGCCCAAGTCACAACCCGTGGAGCTCCTTTGGCAGGTGGAAAACCCACCTCGTCTGAAACTAGAACTAAAGAAACATCTTCAGCACGTCAAAGGAGATGTCTATCTGCTGGTGGGACAGCCAAGAGGACAACTCCACTGCTTCCCCAATAGAAGAGGACCTGCACGTATTGCTGTGCCAGAGCTGGGCTGTTTGCCCCAGAACACACAGCTTAGAATCACAGAATGGTTTGGGTTGGAAGGGACCTTGAAGACCATCCAGTCCCACCCCCTGCCCTGGGCAGGGACACCTCCCCCCAGCCCAGGTTGCTCCAAGCCCCGTCCAACCTGGCCTTGAACACCTCCAGGGATGGGGCAGCCACAGCTTCTCGGGGCAACCTGCCCCAGGGGATCACCACCTCACAGGCAAGAATTTCTTCCTGATATCTCATCTACATCTCCCCTCTTCCAGTGTCAAACCATTCCCCCTCATCCCATCGCTCCCCTCCCTGATGCAGAGTCCCTCCCCAGCTCTCCTGGAGCCCCTTTAGGCACTGGAAGGGGCTCTGAGGTCTCCCCTTTTTCGCCTTCTCTTCTCCAGGCTGAACCCCCCCAAGTCTCTCAGCCTGAGTCTCTCTGGACTTCCAGGCTTAGAAGTGACCAGCTCCTGGACTAGCAGCATGTTAGTCTTCTAACTTCACAAAGTCAGACTTTTGTGAAGGTCTGCAGCCTCCATGGGAAGGATGCTTTCTCCTGCTTCTGTCCCCCTTGATTTTTTCATGGCAGCACATTTTAAATTTGGATTTTTCTCCTAAATACCAATTACACCACCCTCCCTGCCTCCAGCCGACCAACATGCTGCCTGAGGAGAGAGCTGCCTGGAGGGTTCCTCCCTTCGCTGCCCAGGGCAGGAGATTACGGCCTTCTTGCTTTCGAAAGCACCGTTAGAATCAGAGATATAAAGTAATGATGTGGGTAAGGATGCAAAAAAAGTAATTTATGAGAGTTTTTTTTCTATCCAACAGAAAAATCACAAGCAGATGGAATTGTCTGCTGTGTTATTATCCACCTCTCCTCTTGGCGTTGGTCAAAGGACCTCCTGGGCAAGCAGCCTTTAGCCCATCTGTGGATAAAAGGCTCTTCTACATTTCTTCCTTGGACTGTCTTCTGCCTCCTTCTTTCCCTGCTTCTTGGGAAGGACCAAAGTAAGTGAACGGTGGCCACCAAATCACACTTGTGGCTGGAGGAGCCACGCACAGTTGTCCCCCCAAAGCAGGGCTGGCTCCTCGCAGGCTGGCGCGCACTGCAGGGTAGGGAACGGTGAGATTTATGATGAAAAAGAGCTGGAGGAAGAGGGAAGCCCCAACCACAGGGACAGGCGTGTTGGTGAGTGCGAGAAGAGAAGCGATGAGGTGCATCCCTGGCAGACACAGCCAAGACCCCATGGGGATGCCCAGCCCGGCCGGGTGCCGCAGCGAGCATCCCTCACTGAATCGAGTGATTCGGCCAGGATCAAGTCACCCCACAGAGGTGGCAGGTCCCGGCAGGATCCTCAGCTCGGCAAAGCAGCAGCACATGGATGGCAGATCTGGGGACGGGGGGGTTGTGCCAACAGCAGCGTCACCGAGCCCGCGGGGAACCTCGGTGCACGGCTTAGCAGAGGGACAGCGTCCGAGCTGAGTCGCGTGGGTGGGAATTAGAGGTGGAAAGACGTCCTGCGGCAGCAGCGAAATCTGTCAGAGGGCTTTTGGCTCCGGGAAGCGGCAGTGAGATGTTTCAAGGTGGGAGGATGCAGCCCTCAGCAGGGCACGGTGTTATGGTGGGAGCCGCGACGGGAGCAAAGTGCTGCCCGGGCGGCATCAGGCGCTTGCTTAATAATGACCCAACAGTTGTTTCATGACAAAACCAAATTAGCGTGGGCTGAAGAGGCGTTTACATCTGATTAGAAAACCGGCAAATACAATTGTGCTGCTTTCAGGATCAGCTACAAAGCCTTGATAATAAATCAGGCAGAATAAATCAGCTGCTGTGGAGCTGGGAAGCAGCCGTACTGTCCACAATCACGGTGCAGCCTACATCATTTTCATAAATATTACCCGCGGAGTCGCTTCAGATGAGCTCATAAGATCGGGGATGTTCACAGGCAAGTCTAAACAGAAGAGGAAACAAAACCATGCTGCAGAAATCACTGGTGGAGGAGACAGGCAGATACTTTGAGGAGCACCCAGGGGACGGCAGCTCCATACACCCTCTGTGGTGGCCTCTGCCCCGGCCCTGGGCACCAGCAGCTCCCTGGCCACCTGTCTGCAGGTGGTGGCTGATGAGGAGGTGCTGGTGTCCCTGGCAGGGTGACACCACTCCACCAAGCCCAGAGTTCTGCCTCCTCCCAGTGACACCAGTCATGGAGAAAGCCCATCCCCACAAGCCCCGCTGCCAGCGGCCACACGTTGACATCTTGGTGCCCCACAGGCACCTTCCTTCTCTTGATGGCCATAGAGACCTCAGTGCTCCATCATCACCTTCCTCTGGGGCAAAGAGGGGGATCCCAGAGGACCAGAGGAGTTGCCCAAGGGGCAGCAGCTGCTTCCCACCACCGCCTGTGTGGTGGTATACCCACTCTCACCTCCCCGAGGGAGGTGGCCTGCCCTGCTCATTGTCACACATCTCATCTCCACAGCGTCCCTTTCCTTGCTCAGTCCTCCAGGCCAGGAAGGAAAGGTACCTGCCCTTCCTCCAAGGAAAGCTGGAGGCTGTAGCACCTCAACCCCATCCTAACAACCCCCTTGCCGACCCCGCTCCGCTCCCTGCAGCCGAGCACGGGTCTCCTCCAGCTGGAGATGTCAGAGGGTGGCTCCTGGGAAGCCTTTCATCCTCCCCACTCCTTGTGCTGGTGGGTCACCCTTCGCTCCTGCCTGAACCAAAATCTGCTCATTAGTCTAAAGATGAAGAGGTGAGGAGTTTTTAACGCTGAGGCGGCTTTCCAGTCCTTACTCCCTCCTTCTGTTGAAGGAAGATGTCTACACCCTGGGCTGGATGCAGCTCCTCACCCTTCAGGGAGGAAAGTCTCTTCAAAAAGGGCATCTGCCCCATAAGCCTGCACCACTGGGCCACCAAGACCACGGGCAGGTGGAGATGCCATCTCCACTGCTGGCCAGGCTGGTCCATTCTTCAACCCCTTTTATCACCCTCCTCTACGCTTCATCCCCATTTTCCAATATCCTTCTCAGCACGAGGGATTCATCCCAATGAACCTTTGCTGTCTAAAGTCAGGTCTCTGCTGCTCCTCACCTACACCCCGGTGGGGACAGGGGGTTCCGGGAGGGAGCTGAGCCCACCTGAAGAGCATGCATGAAGTCAACTGAGGTGGAACATTTTCTGGAGGTGCTTCTTGCCCAAGTGAGAAGCTGAGCCCGTGGGCACCTGCCTGGCAGAGCTTGCAAGGTAGAACCGGTCTCGGAGACCTCTGGGGCTTGGAGAAGTGTTTTCCCACACATGGACCCCTCCGTCAATGGGCAGTTCTTCCTATGCTGTTCTGAAAGGCTTTGCTTGAGGAACAGAGCCTCTTTAATTAGCCTGCCCTGCAGTAATTGGGAAGAGAGGCTGTTTCAGGTGGAAGCCGGGTCAAGCTCGGTCTGCCAGAGGTTTTTGGGAGAGGTGCTTACGCCAGAGCCCCATACCAACAGAGATAAGTGTCCCCCAACATCTGCTTCAGCCCAGAGCTCAGATGTACCCACTTGAGATGGGGATTAACGTAATTTAAATACAATCACATGGGAAAGCTCAAACGAGCTTGCTTCGTTTTCGCCCTGGTGGGACTGAGGCATGGTGGCATCTCACCCACGGGGAAGCCTGCCTGCCTCCCTCCTCCTCCTCCTCCTCCTCCTCCTCCTCACCCTCCCATGAGGTGGGCGATCTGCTGCTCCGCCTGGGGACTCGCGCTGCAGCCCCGGTTTGGACATCAGCTCCTGTGAAGGGTTAACGGGATTATAAACCTCCCTGCCTTTCTAAATCCCCTGGGCCGTGGGATTGGACGGGTTATAAACTTATTAACAGGGGACGGGCGCCGGTGGGGGCTGCGGACACTGCTCCGCCGGTCTGTCCCCCCCAAATTAATTGGGGAAAACGTGAGAATGATAACAGGAAGCTCACTCAAGTGAATCCATAAGAAAAAAGAGAGGAGGGAAAAGGAGAGAGGGGGACAGCTGCATATGGAAAGACGGGAAAACAACATATTTTGGGGAAAGATTTCAGAATGTGCCACTGAGCCGGCAGCACGGCAGGGGCTGGCGCAGAGGTTCGGGAAGAGCTTTGATCTGTCCTCCAGCTGCAAACATCCCCGTGCTCAGACCCAGACCCCAGCACAAGCCATAATAATTAATAATAATAATGGAAAGAGGACAGGGGGAAGATCCAAGCCATCCCTGCACTC